GCTCCTGGAAAACCTCCCCCTTACTGTATTGTTTTACTACAAACACTGAGTTGAGTCTCTGAATCGATAAGCTGCCTAGTTGATAGCAACTCTAGAGTAAACCCAGAGACTTGAAAACATTTTTTTATTCAGAGAGATGGAGGTTACAAAGGAGATTTAAGGACCGGCCCCGTGGCTTAGCGGTTAAGTGCGCGCGCTCCGCTGCTGGCGGCCCGGGTTGGGATCCCGGGTGCGCACCCATGTACCGCTTCTCCGGCCATGCTGAGGCCGCGTCCCACATGCAGCGACTAGAAGGATGTGCAGCTATGACATACAACTATCTACTGGGGCTTTGGGGGAGAAAATAAATAAATAAAAGTTCAAAGGAGATTTAATTCGAAGAAGGCGAGAATTAGAGATGGAAATTTCTCAGTGAGAAAAGCATTCTTGTAACCTAGTTGGGGTAGAGGGGCATATTGTAAGGGCATGGGTTAAGTGGTAACTTTATCTTTCTCTTCCTCAGCAATTTCTCCTTGACCTGTGTTGGGAGTTGTGTCGAGTTCTGCAGGCTGTCACTCTCTGTCGCCCAGCAGTGAAAGTTTTATAAACACCGGGCACTGTGAACGTAGTGCAGGGCTTGACAATAGGCTTCTAGATTGATTAATGTGGTAGCCTTTCTTTAGATGTGGCCTTCCATTTTTTTTTTAACTGTGATGTAGAGAAAGGTCCATACATTCAGCTTTTAGGGAAGGCGCGGGGCCAGAATCTTCAGCATTGTAAAAACCGAATGGCTTTTCATCCCAAACTCAAGGGAGAAAAAGGTAAGATATATTCATGTTAAGTTAAAATGATGTCATGGTGGCAAGCAAGCCCCGAGGCTCCAGGCCTGGCTGGTTTTCGTGCTGAAGAGACCGTGAGTGAAATCTGTTGATTGATCGCTCTGTCCACACATGGTACCTACATGCTGTTAGAGATACAAGCACACTCTTGGTCTAACTGAAAACACAGAGATGCTGGAGGTTTATTATAGATGTAGTTTCCCCAGCACTGCCTTGAACCTCATAGACTTCAATACACGCCAGGCCCTGTTGGATCTTCCTGTAGTCACGGGGTATTGCAGTTGCTGTCGCCTTGTTAACCTGCCTTAAATCGTGGCATTTGTTGACAGCTAAACCTCGTCTACACTGTTGAGAGAATATCCACCTGCTGAAGATGGGTTGTAGTCCTTCCAACTAGATGACAGTTAGTTGTTCGTGTGGCCCTGGCATACACATGGGAAGTGGAAAAGGTCGTGAAGAGGACACTGGGATCCAAGGAAGAGCCTTCTGGCAACCACTGATTTGTCACTGGGACAAGACCACTGTCATCTGTTCTGGAACAGAGCTGATGCTGTCGTCTGGCGATTTGAGTTCCAGTCCTGGTTTTTGCCCACTGTCTATGTGGCAGGTCTAATTTATCCTTTTTGGGCCTCACTTTCTTCGTCTGCAAAATGGACAGGGTTGAAAGCAATGTACACTAAACTTAAACATTCTATAATCCTGCCTAAAATTATTTCAATCCAAAAGGATTAGTAGTTATATTAATTAGGATTCTCCAGAGAGACAGAACCAACAGGAGCCTGCCCATGTATGTATGTATGTATCTGTCTATCTATGAGTAGTTTTTTTTTGTGTGTGTGAGGAGATCAGCCCTACGCTAACATCTGCCAATGCTCCTCTTTTTTTTTGTTGTTTTTTTTTTTTGCTGAGGAAGACTGGCCCTGGGCCAACATCTGTGCCCATCTTCCTCCACTTTATATGGGACACCGCCACAGCATGGGTTGCCAAGCAGTGCGTCAGTGTGTGCCTGGAATCCGAACCAGCAAACCCCAGGCCGCCACAGCGGAGCACGCGCACTTAACTGCTTGCACCACCGGGCCGGCCCTATCTATGAGTAATTTTAAGGAATTATTTCACATTATTGTGGGGGCTAGTAAATCTGAAATGTATAAGGCAGGCCAGTGGACTAGAAATTCAGACAAAGGTTGATGTTGCAGTCTTGAGTCTCAATTCCGCATGGCAAGAGGCTGGAAAGTCAGGCAGGGTTTCTTTGTTGTAGTCTGGAGGCAGAATTCCTTCTTCAAACCTGAGAAAAATATCCTCATTGAGAAACCTCAGTCTTTTGCTTTTAAGGCCTTTAACTGATTGGATGAGGCCCACACTTTATGGAGGGTAATCTGCTTTACTCAAAGTCTACTGATTTAAATGTTAATTACATTTAAAAAATACCTTCACAGCAATATCTAGACTGATGTTTGACCAAACAACTGTGTACCACAGCCTAGCCAAGTTGACACATAACATTAACTATGACAGCAGTTACGCTGTAACTTCCCCGTTGTTTGTACTGTAAGTCATAGTCATGTGACAGGAAAGCAGGCTAATCTAAAATTAAATCATGTTGTATTAACAATTCGATGCATCAGTTCTTCCTTTGGTTCATCCTCATACATTTATTAAGCACCCATGTGTAAGGCACTGTGCTAGACATCAGGAAAACAAAGCTACATAAGATGAGCCCTCTACTTTCAAAGCAATGAAAATCTAGTAAAGGAGACAAATAAGTGAAAAAGAAATCATTGCAATGCAATTGCCTCTATTGGATAGAGTGGTGAGGTGAAGGAGAGAGGGATAACACTTTATGTCTTGGGGGGAGGAAGGTAGTAGGTCAGGGAAGGCTTCACGGAAGAGGAGACACTTAAGCTGGGTTTTGAGGGACAGTTAGGAGTTCTCCAGGGAGGCATTCCCAGAAGGGAACAGTACATGCAAAGGCATGGAGAGTAAAAAACTACCACGCTCATAAAATGGGAAAGCATTCAGAATGAATATCTGGAAAGCTTCTGTCACATAAAAAGGTGCTTGAGACTCAATCTCTGTTGTTATCATTGGAGAAATTAAAATGTGGCCGATCTTACATTTTATAGTTTCTTGGTTAGTAAATAACCATCTATCAGGCCATCAGTAAAATATGACAGTTCTTGGCTTTGAGTCCACTGAAGCTTGTTCAGTTTTCCATTCTTACCATTTAAAAATATTTTCTTATCCATACTGGGGTAGTTACAAAGTAAATTAAAAATTTATGTCTGTATGGGATTTATCTTATGAGTCAGGCATTCTTGACCAAATATATTAGGTTTCTAAAAATTTTCCTTGAACCAATTATGTCACCTTGGGCAAGTCTACCCCTTTTAGCTTTAAATTCTCACTTGCAGAGAGAGGGAGTTGGTCTGGTTTTTAAAGGTCCACCCATAGGGTATTCTATGATCAAATAAATGAAAATGATCTCTGCTGTGTCTAGCTATATTGGTATGTTTCTATAGCATGAATCATTGCTCTAATCACACCTTTCCCAAAGTGACTGTTTGCAGTAAAAGTACTTTATTGCCACTTTGATTGAACATTTCACATGTTTCAACCACTTTATTAGGTATTTTGTGTGCACTATCTCATTAAATACTTAGAACAACCCTGCAAAGTAGATAATATCATTTCCATTTTGTAGTTGAAGAAACAGAGGCTCAGACAATTGAAATAACCAGGCTGATCCCACTCAAGTGGCACTGGGGAAGCTGGGGGTGGAACCTTGATCTTTTGACTCCAAAGTCTGGATTCTTTATCAAGGGCTGTGACCCACAGTACATAATTATTAGCATAACACAGTATCTTGTGTGCATAGCAGAGGTGAGATAATGTCTTATAAAAGGACAAGTCTCACTCTCTGAAAGCAATCTATTTAACATTTTAAATAATGAAAGAGAGGGGAGGTACTTTCTGGTATGTTGACTAATGGGGCCATGAATTTTAATATATCACTGGGCAGCGTATCATAGGAAGAAGGTACTATTCTTCATACTATGAGAGGACTCAGAAACCACCTGCTTAATACGTAACTAAACTCTGATCCTTTCACTCAACCCACTTGCATTTGGATTCTGCCCCACAATCCATGATAACGATCCTTGGCACACTGGTTCTTATTAGGGTCTTGGCTGGTCCCTCTGCCTGGGGGATCGTTTCCCTAACTTCAAAAGAGCATTCAGACCTCAGTCTAGTCGCCATCGCAGAGAGCCATTTCCTGATCTGCCAATTTAAATGAGCTACTTGTCACTCACCATCTCATCATCATATTTTACATCTCTGCCTTGCACGTATCACTCTAGGACATTTTTCTTATTTGTTTATTTACCTATTTGTTTTGACTGCTTCCTCCCATTTGGATGAAGCTCAGTGAGAGCAGAGACTCTCTCTGTTCACTGCTCTATCCCCACATTTGGAGTAGTGGCTTGATCACAGTAGGCTTGCTTTGTCTGTCTATCTAACCATCCATCTGTCCATCTACCCATCCATCCATCCGTCCATCCGTCCATCATCTCCGCCTCCTCTTCTTCCTCCCCCCGTCTCCTTTATCCCTCCCTCCCCTCCCATCCTTCCTTCTTTCCCTGCATAGATCTATCTATAAATTGACTTGGCCATATGAAGTTATAGGATGAGGCAGTAGACGTGCTTCTTCAGTTAGAATGTGGGAAGACCCTCATATTTCCCTTATAGTTCGTCACTTAACCCATGATTTTTCTTTTTCTTTTAGATTCTCCCTTTTTGTCATTTTTATTTTTTTTTTGGTGAGGAAGATTAGCCCTGAGCTAACATCTGTTGCCAATCCTGCTCTTTTTGTTGAGGAAGATTGGCCCTGGGCTAACATCCATGCCCATCTTCCTCTACTTTATACGTGGGACAACTGCCACAGCATGGCTTGATAAACAGTGCGTAGGTCCACGCCCAGGATCCAAACCTGCGAACCCCGGTCCGCCAAAGCGGAGAGCACGAACTTAACTACTACAGCACCCGGCCAGCCTCAAAGAGTCTCCCTTTTTGTATCAAGCTTAAGATGTAGCAGAATGCTGAGAAATTGAGCTTTAATTACAAAATTCTAATTTTGGAAAATTATTTCTCACCACCTCTGTGTTTTGCTTCCCTTGCCAGGGCTTTGTGGTTGAATTACAAAGCCACTTCTTCAGCCAGCTCATTCTGGATGAATGAATGATTACCCTAAGTGCCATCCACACTTCCTCTAGGGGTAAGTTCAAGGCACTTGTACATCTCAAAGTATTATTATATGTCAGTCTGTATTTCTTATGTGTCTGTGGCCCATGTAGCTCTGTTAACTGCTCTTTGTATGTGGACCTGAGTGGGAAAAGCCAAAGTGGATTCCTCAGGTGTGGTAATGGAGGTTCCTGCAGGTGGCGGGGTGCCAAGCCTGAGTGGCTTATTACAAATGCTCTTTAATCTGATATGCTGGAAAATTGTATGCCCATCCTCTCTGGGAATTTAGGTGAAAAAGTTGCAGCCCGGGAGGCGTTCATTTCCATCTCTTTCCATGTCCAATACCGTTAGAGCACACACTTAAACTCCAAACCAGCTAGGACTTCCTGCTGAAGAGCAGATCTAGAGTATGTAATTTCTGGTTGTAAGATCAGGTAAGCTCAAGAGACTTGGACACTAAGGAACCACTGAGGAAAGGGGAGGTTCCAACTATGATGTCAAGGCTGTTTCATTCTGCCTGGGGCGTTTTACTGGTCTGTGTATTGGTGTTGCAGGTTAAGGACCACAGCGGGAGAGCTCACTAGTTCCCAAAGCTGTGTTTGGAATGGTTGCAAAGAATTCCCTGGAAACGTTTGCTGTGCCTGCAGTTCATGCTTGCTTTGCTGCAGCACACAGACCCAAGCACACGCTTCCCAGGCAGCAGTCTTTCCTGGGCTGCTTCGCACCCTTTGGATCTCTACTCAAGACTCTGCCTCCGCGAGACCATCTCCGACCTCCCGCTCTAAAGTAGCCACCCAGCCGCCTGCTCCCCTGTCACTTATTTTAATTCTCTGCAAAGTGCTTGTCTCTACCTGACACTTTTCTCCTTTGTGTATTTATTTATCGACTTGTTGACCAGCTCCACCATCACTGGAGCAGAGAGTCCACAAGGACAGGACACTCGTCTGTCTTGTTCCTCACGTAGCTCCACAGCCCAGAACAACAGATGATTTTTTTTTGACTGACTATAGAATGCGTTCAACAGTGTCATGTGGTGAGAAATTTGTTCTCACTGGAGGAGTTGTTGAAGATTCAATTTGTCTGTTTAAAAGTTTTTAAAAATGTGAATTGTTCCCTCACAGAATTATCAAGTTTGTCATTATATTCCATGTGAACAGGAAGTTTTCTAGCATTTCTGGGTTTATTTGCAAATATAGTACATATTTTCTTTTTTTTTTTAATAATTTTATTTATTTATTTATTTTCCCCCCAAAGCCCCAGTAGATAGTTGCATGTCATAGTTGCACATCCTTCTAGTTGCTGTATGTGGGACACGGCCTCAGCATGGCCGGAGAAGTGGTGCGTTGGTGTGCGCCCGGGATCCGAACTCAGGCCGCCAGCAGCGGAGCACGCGCACTTAACCGCTAAGCCACAGGCCGGCCCGCAAATATAGTACATATTAAAGTTAGAAATTTTGGTAACCTTTATGTTGATTGCCCTTTATCTCATCCACATTAGAATATTCAAAAGGAATATCTCATTAGCCTCAGAGAGGTGTTTCATTTATGCTTTAATGAAGTTCAAAAACCGTGCAATACACCTAATTGAAAAGCCTAAAGTCTAGATCTTTTTGGAGTCAGAATGCCTGAGTCCTTGACTTCTGTTTCCAACATTTCCTGGCTCAGTGACCTTGGGCAGGTTATTTAACCTCTTGGTGCCTCAGTTTCTTCTTCTGTAAAATGGGGGTAATAAAAGCATTTTCCTCATAGAGTGATTATGATTAGGTTTGTTAATATACGTGTTGTATACATTTCTGCTATTTTATTTAGTATGTACTCAGATTTTTGTATATTAAATACATCAACGAGGTTTAAAAATCATGTGTTTGTATACTGTTCACAAAGTGGTGACGCAACTAGGAGAATTTGTTTTCACGTGACGAGGATGAAAACAGCGGTCTACTCCTGAGATCACCAGAGAGAATAGACTTGCTTATACTATTTATAATTTTAGTGAGTTATAATGATGATGAAACATTGTAAACATGCCCTTTTCCATATGTAGAGCAAGACTGTTGTCTCTTTGCTAACAGGCTTGGTTTGGGTTTTTTGGTTGTATTAGTTTTATGGTCTTCAGCAAGTTACTTGAGTTTCCTTAGCCTCAGTTTCTTCATGTGCAAAGTAGTGAATAATATACAAAGGAAAGGGGATTGCTATGAGAATTAAATATGAAGATATATATAGCACCCCTGGCACAGTGCTTCACACTTAGATTTAAAGGGTATTAATATCTAGAGGAAAGTGATCATGGTTAGGAGTGTTTGGAAGTAGTGTCCTGGATCCTGTTCATAATGATGAAGGGGACCAAATATTTGGCCTGGAAAGTAGTAAGCTTAGTAGGGAGTGTAATACTTTCCCTGACATATTTAAGAGTATGTCACGTGTAAGGGAGCAGGACGATGAGCCTGATCAGAAGCCTCACCAGCTTCTGCTGGAAGCACTAGGACCAATGAGTAGCAGTAGAAGGAAGCCACTTTGGGTTTCACGTAAGGAAGGACTTTCTTAGGAGCTGTGGGAAATGTGAGGCGTGGCCCTCCGTGGTAGTGAACTTCCCAGGGTGGATGTGGTGTCGGGAGGCTGGTTGGCTGCAGATCAAGAATTGGGGAGAAAGGATTCCTCCGCTCACCAGGAGGGTAGATGCCATGGCTGTATGGTCCTTTGCAACGCCTCTTCTGTGTAAATCGCCCCCTCCGCACATCATGCCTGCCCTTCTGGTTGTCTTGGCCAAGTTGGTTGTGTAGAGACGTATGTCCCTAGACACCCAGGATTTAGCCTTCTGAAGTCAGGGAGTTGGGACTGCTGATTGTTGTCTTTTAAAATATTTTTCAGGATTTAAAATGTTCCCGTTTGTGTTTTATCATTTGCATCAGAGGTTGCAAACTGGTGGGCTTACTGACTGGTTCTGGGCTGTGGATAAGCTTCATTGGGCCGGCAAAATATGTCCCTGACAAGTGTTTTAAGGATATTTCAATTAGTTGCCTACCTTTAAAAGCTGAGAATTTTACAAAAAAGCAGAATTTTCAGTGTTTCTAAAAAATGTGGTTCATCTGGCAACATAGCGTTCTGCATTCCCGGGTGGCAGTGGCTCGCGGGAGCTGGGTGGCCGGTGGCCCTTCTTGATGGGTTATGGATGGACCAGTTTGCCGCAGTCCCGGCCACTTCATGCAGCCTCCCCAACACTGAGGGGCAGTTGCCATTTTTCATTTACTTAAGTTGTTTTTCTTATAGTAGAATTAGGAGAAAATTGAAAAAGTTTTATCTACTTCTGTATTAGTAGTGGAAAAACTAAAATTTCTGTAGAGTTTCATATTTCAAGGAAAATGGAACAGAGCTTTTTGGTGTGTGCTGAAGAATACTTGTACAAATTTAATTTGCAAACAAATGGTTTCTGTTTCTTAAGAACACAGCGCTCCAGCCTGCTTCATTCATGTATTTTGAACAGCCCTGAAGGTATGTGAGTGTGAACCCTGATCTGGACAGTAAAATTTTCCCTCTGTGTTCAGACAACTCTTTTGCTTTTATTTAAGGCCATTTTCTCTCTTTCAGCAGCAATCTCCCTCACCTTCCTTAAGATCATTTGTTGAGTCTACTGGCTTGGAGAAATGGGAACAGTGTATAATTTGCGCTCACATGTAGACTCTGGAATTAGGTTCCATTCTGCCTTCCCCAACAGACCCCCAACACTCCTTAAACTTTCTGGCACCAAACAGATGAGGGCCTGTAGCCTTGTTTTCTCTGACCGGGGTTGCCAAGAGAGCTGTGCTCTTAGCTCACTAAGGCACAGACTGAAATCTTAGGACTGTCTTCTGTGTGCATTTGATTTTTAGGGAAAAACATAATCTGATTTTGTTTGTTTATTCTGTTTTACAAGGGCGGTTCTGGCTTCATTGTGAAGATAAACTAGAAGGGAGGGGGAGATCAGGGAAGCCCCCCAAAATTGACTTCTGTTGTTTGTAGGGTGATTGGGTGGAAGAGAAGAGTAAGATGTGTGTTGATAATGATGGAAAGACTAAACTTCCTTAGTGGAATTGTTAGGATGACTGATTTAAAGTCCCTGGAAGGAGTCCTCGTCTATCAATTGGTTATTTAATGATGGAATGTGCTCCCTAATAGAGCTGTGAACTTCCCATCACTCAGGGTATTTAGATAGAAGAGAGGGGCCTATCTGTCAGGATACTGAAGGAGGTTCTCAAATTAGAAGGAAGATTGGACCAGATAGATGACCTCTGTGGTCCCTTCGAAAACTCAGATTCAATTAGTCTCTGAATTAAACTGATTAGGAACCTTTTAGCTTAAATAGTTTCACGTCAGTCCATAAAAAGAAAATATTGTAAGTGGAATCAGAGGCTGAATATAACACTTTTAAATTACATTTAGTTCTGGGCAGATTACTTGTCCTTTCTTAAATGTTCCAATATAACCCTTCAAAAATGTTGTAAACAGATGTGTCTAGTGGCTAGTAAAAGCCAGGATTTTATAAGCATATTTCCTAAGTGATTTTTTTCTACTGAAAATTTTCATTTGACCTTAGCTGAATCTCATTTTGTACTTTTATTTTTGGTAGCATGATTTTTTTTTTTGGGTGAAGACTGGCCTTAAGCTAACATCTGTGCCAGTCCTCCTCTATTTTGTATCTGGGACGCCACCACAGCATGGCTTAACGAGTGGTGTATAGGTCCGCACCCGGGATCTGAACCTGAAAACCCTGGGCTGCCAAAATAGAGCACACAAACTTAACCACTATGCCACCAGGCCAGCCCCAGATGATGATTTTTTTTTTTTTTTTGGTGAGGAAGATTGGCCCCGAGCTAACATCTGTTGCCAATCTTCCTCTTCTTTTGCTTGAGGAAGATTAGCCCTGAGCTAACATCTGTGCCAGTCTTCCTCTATTTTGTATGTGGGATGCTGCCACAGCATGGCTGATGAGTGGTGTAGGTCTGCACCCAGGATCCAAACCCAGGAACCCGGGCCACTGAAGTGGAGCACACCAAACTTA